GAAACAGGACACGCAAACCCAGCAGTCCTTGATCGCGCAAATATACCGTCTAGTCTCCCAGCGTCCAGCAAGCGCGTGCAACTTCCTCCCACTGCCCCCTCTCCTCTCACAAGGCGCCAGCTCCTCCGCCTCCGGGCCCTCCGATGCCCCCACCCAAATCACATACCGGACCTACGCAACGTTGTCGTTCATTATGATCTCTACATCCACGGAGTCCCCGCTCGCTCTGATCGATCTGATTCAGGTTTTTGTCGAGGCGCTGGATCGCATGTTCGAGAATGTCTGCGAGTTGGATCTTATCTTCGGCTATGAGACTCTGCATGCTGTGCTCGGGGAGATGATTGTTGGCGGCGTTGTGGTTGAGACGCATATTGAGAAGATTATTGCTGGTGTACGTGCTCAGGAGGGGTCGTTGGGTAAGAAGAAGGCTGTTCAGGCTGCTAGTACTAGCTTGGGTCGCGGGGCTTTGCCTGGGTTAGGGGCGTGGAGATGACCTATAGAGGATAGATGCTTTTTGATGAGCTGCATATTGATGGATCTGAGGAAATCGTGTCCCATTTGGTCTATCTAAGGCGTTATGGTTACGCATTCTACACTTGCTTTCGCGGGATTTGGGCCGTTTTAGACTTCCGGCTACGCCTTTTAATGATATATTGAGTGATGTGTACATTGTGAAGCTTATAAAATTAAAGATATTTCTTTATTTCAAGCCTAGGGAATGACAGCATCTGGCTCTAATTGACAGGTACCATTGCAACTATTTAGCAATTCTAAAGCCCGGCGAGGCGATCAACATGTTGGCCTATGGACCGAGAGGTCCCGGAGGTAGAGGGAGATGGCGAGGATTCGCTGGTGGAGAGCGATGAGCGGATTAGTGACGATGCTTATAACATTTGTAATGTTGCTTGCCATAGCTCCGATGTTGTGAATACAAATTTAGGCGGTTTACCTGTGAACGAGGCCGGTCAGTCATGTGCATTGCTTGGACAGCGCTGGTCACAACCCAAAATACCGTGATCGGCCATTGCGTCTTCCGTACGGATTTCCATATAGGTATAGTCCGTACCGCTATTAGCCATGTGTTCCATTCTTGCCCGCCTTTCGACATATTGAAGGCGTAAAATCGGGAATGAATCATCCATCACTGATACACCTTTGCCAATCTTCCCTCATATGACTTGGCCAACGCCGAGAGTGACACCTACAAAGTCCAAATGGGCAACCATGGTCCATAGGAACCAGATTTGTGGGAGACCATATTGTTGTACTCCTATGGTCTTGCAAGATTTCTTCAAATACGCTGTGCGTCGGGTGTATTTAGCTCCCTGTCTTTGTCGGCGATTGTGGTAACCTTGTTGGCAATTGCGTCCATGTAATCGCAGTCGGCGAGTATTCTGAGCTGGACGGCCCAAACATCCGACGGATACCCCTAGTAAAGGTTCACAGGTTGTCCGACCGGCCATCTGTCCGGATATATGTCCTCTTTAATGCTGAAATCCCTTGGCCACTTTGTACTCCGTCGCCTAACCGGTGGATTATTTGTCGTAACGATGAGGAAAAGGATTGCGTCGGAGAGCCAGACGTCAGCCGGTGGTGGTACGAAGTTGCATCTTGGTCGAACGTAAGGATCTCGTGAATGTGAGCGTCCTATCATCAACCAAGCATAAAGATGCCCATACTTGTCACTGTGTGTAAGTGCCAAAAGGCAGAGCTGAGTCTGGAATACCATGACCATTCCTGACTTTTTCACCACACTTTCCCCTAGAACACTCATTTCATGAAGTGGTATGTTCTGGACAAGATCCACATGGTCTTTGAGTCCGACTTGCACTTTTTGATAGCAAGGACCACCGCCGTTTCATGAGACAAGCCCAACCAACCCTTAACCTTAAACACGGCGTCTGTCTTGAGATGCAGGTTGCCAAGCAGATTAACATGCCATCATCTGGTGGGTTGCCGGGCCTAGATTGGGGCGGTGGACCAGCAAGAAGGATATCCAGAGTTGCAGGATCAGTGTGGCCAAATTGGTCACATCCAGCTAATCTGCTGTGACGAGGAAGGTTTCCTTGTGCCGCTATTCACGCATATTAGGGTCTCCTCAATTTGCACAACTGAAGTAAGGATCTGCCACCATTTTCCAGGTATCCTCGCGGAGAGAATCTTGGTAGTTGGCTGTTCGGATGTCTTTCCACTTCGACTTTAAGTGAAGTCCTTCATTTTCAGTGTCTTTTCCGGCTCGGACATTGACAAGACATGTTGATTCCAGTAGGAATCTTTAGCGTCGTCCTGTTTAGCTCGTTCGCGGGCAAATGGTCGTGGGGAAAGGCAATTGCTTCAGTGGATGATAGAACCGTAAACCCCATCGGCTATGAGGTACTTGGGATATTCTCTCTGGTAGCCTCACAGGTAGCTGTCTGGTTTGGCGGTTCCCAGGTGGTCATCATTGTGAGGGACAGGGGAGGTTTATCTTCTTTGGCATTGTTTTAACCCTCTGAGAATGTGGGTCATTCTCTATTGATATACCAGTTTAGACTGACACGCGAGGTCTTGTGCTTTTCTCTTATGATATAGGTTACTGGATATATATTTACACCCTTTCGCTATATTGTGACACAGTATTAGTTTACGAAGCAGCAAACGCAGCATCACCATAGACAGAAATATAGACGACGTAGGATAGTCTTACTAGGTGTGGGGTAGTATAGCGCCATGGCCGCACCATGACCAATGCAGAGATAGCCCTGGAGAAATGGGGGGCTGACTTTGCATATCCCGGGTGATCAGCGTGCTATCATTTGAGAAAAAGAATACTGTAATTTGAGATTTTTGAAGGTTGTGTCTAAGCAAGTTAAGAGGAAGATCAGGAAGACTTTGAATTTCTAGTATTGATGAATGACTATGTATCACAAACATAACGGGTTGCCCTGGAGATTATTGAGGCAGTTACCCTCCATCGCTCCTGCCAAAATATAGAGCTGTATATCACGTGACAGAATAAACTTGCCCTACGGACTAGCCCTAGCCCTAGTCACATGAGTGCGCTAGCGGGACCCACAGACACTTCATAAGTTGCATCCACACGAACTTTCTCCTTTCTCATCCGTCAACCGTCAATCAGCGCAATCAGTCGACAAAATGGTGGTGAGTACATATAATGTCTCTTGATAACATCAGAGGCTTCTTCTAGTTCTCTCGCGATGTCTCACGACATTCGCATTGCTTCAGATCTTTGATCTAAGCAATTCCGCCGATCACGCACAGCCTCGAAAGAGATGTGTCGCGATCGTGTGATGATTTTGGCTGGAAGCATAGAGTCAATGCCCGTAACACGGCTTGGTTCATGTTCTCCTTAGAGTTCAAAGAAGATGCAGCACTATGTGAACAGCACGCTGATCTTCTTTTCTCAATGATAGCCTCCTAAGTCCGGAAAGAAGACCGCCGCTCTGCCCTACCCCCAGGGCAAGGCTGGCGCTGGCAAGAAGGCTGCCAAGGTTAGTTTTCTCTTTCCCCTTTAGGAGTGCATTGAGTTTTGAAGAGACTAACCATTCCATAGAACCCCCTTATCGAGAAGCGCTCCCGCAACTTCGGTATCGGCCAGGACATCCAGCCCCGTCGCAACCTCTCCCGCTTCGTTAAGTGGCCCGAGTATGTCCGTCTTCAGCGCCAGAAGAAGATCCTGAACATGCGCTTGAAGGTTCCTCCTTCCATCGCTCAGTTCCAGGCTACTCTTGACCGCAACACCGCTGCCCAGACCTTCAAGCTCCTCTCCAAGTACCGTCCTGAGACCAAGGCCGAGAAGAAGGAGCGTCTCGTCCAGGAGGCCACCGCCGTCGCTGAGGGCAAGAAGAAGGAGGATGTCTCCAAGAAGCCCTACAACGTCAAGTACGGTCTCAACCACGTCGTTGGTCTCGTTGAGAACAAGAAGGCTTCCCTCGTCCTCATCGCCCACGATGTTGACCCCATTGAGTTGGTTGTCTTCCTTCCCGCTCTCTGCCGCAAGATGGGTGTCCCCTACGCCATTGTCAAGGGCAAGGCCCGTCTCGGCACAGTCGTCCACAAGAAGACCTCCGCCGTTCTCGCCCTGACCGAGACCCGCGCTGAGGACAAGGCCGAGTTCGCCAAACTCCTCTCCGCCATCAAGGAGGGTTACACCGACAAGAACGAGGAGTCCCGCCGTCACTGGGGTGGTGGTATCATGGGCGCCAAGGCCAACGCCCGCATCGAGAAGAAGCAGAAGGCTCTCGACTCCGCCATCAAGGTTTAAATGCTTGTGTAACTACAGCTTTTCTTCCTTTGATGTCTGTTTGACGGGATCGTTTTCTAATCGAAGCGCTCGGATCTCAAAAATAATAAGTTATTGTGGGAAACAACAAGGTGTTCAAGGCTTCGACGATCTATTGACGGCCAATTCTTTTAGCTTTAGATGGGTTCGAAAGAGCCCTTTGGCCCTTTTTGGATCCTGTTCTAACAAAAAAAGACATTTTTACCTCACGAACTCCAATGGCCCTATGTACCACTTTTCTGCAGATACCCATGAATGCATTTCTTACCTGTTCAATCTGTCGATGGTCTTGGTAGTCCCATCAGAACTAGGCATTCATGTCGTCTGCTTGTATTTGTAGTGTATCTTGTAATGTAAGATTGTAGTCTGAGATTCTATTAGCAGATAATAACTGCACCTCCTCGTATTGATCATCAAATTTTCACTCAAATTTTTCTGTGGGAACTGTGTGAAACCTGCCAAGAATACCAAGTCTTTTCTAAAAGATAGTCCCGCCTTGGCACATATCTTAAAGACCTCTACATACTCCTATCAAATAGTCTTACATTGAAGAAACAGTTCATATTGTCATTCATTGAAGAGTTCAAAGGTCTAAAACGGGATAGGCTATATATATTCATTGAGAGTAGGTGAGATTGAGGGGTAATCCCACAACATATCCAACATGTACAACATACATGCCACAATATATATTGCATCCCATCCACACGCAGACTATCTAAAACTGATTTCCATTGGAATCATACGCATCATGAACCTGCTGTCTGGCATCATACTTGGCCCTCTCCCTGTCAATGAAGTCCAATCCTCTGGACTCAACCTCACGGTCGACAAAGGCACCAGCAAATCCAGCCAGGATCTCTTTGGCCTTTGCGTGGCTGTCGGGTTCACCTGCAGATAGAAAGAAGTACATATTAGCCTTTGCCTGTCTATAGACTTGATCCCGCCTGCAGAATGACTGAAAGGGGGGAGGGGAGGGGTTGTGGACGTACCATTCTCAGCAACGTGGTCCTCATAGGCCTTGGCTGCCTCGTAGCTAGCGGCACCGGCGATCAGCTCGTGGATCAAGGAAGGATCATGTTCCGGCTGGTCATTGTAGGTGTTGTAGGCTTGTGCCTGTTCGGAATCGTCTAAGGTAGATGTGAGTGGAAGGTTGGTATCAAGGAAGTATGGGGATATTCACCACTGAACCAGCCCATTTTGAAATGAATTGTTAGGGAAAAATGACAAGAGAGTAGGATTGCGAGAGATGTCAGAGAGGAAGAGGGGTACCTAGTCTAGTGGGTTTTATACTGTCCCACTAGTGTCTGCCGCATTTACCGTCTCACCATTGAGGGGCATATTCAGACCAGTTATATCTACGCAGAAGGAAACGGTCTCCAGAACAGGGAATAATAGGATAGTAATAACAAATGACACCCTTAGACCTAAATACCCAGGAAACCATACATGTAGTCATAAAAAGGATAAAGACAAGGCTGGTATGATGACATTACAGGAAGATTCAGAGGTCCACAGCCAAAACATAAGTAGAAAAAAAAAAGTACAAAGAGACCCAAGAGCTCAGTCCTATGGTCCCAGAAGACCAGAGATGCTCACCGATCCTTTTAATATGAATGATCGAGAAACCCCGTCTAAAGACACAAATTGAAAGCAAGCGAAGAAGGTGTATAGTGTGAAGGACGAGACATAAACGTAATTGCGGTCATTTGATCATTAACGTTGAGGAGGTCGTGAAAGCCCTTGGCGTACCTGTATATTATTTGTTAGCAAGTTCAGACATAAGTAGGCCACAATCACTCACCTTCATTTGTTCAATTCGCGCCTTCAGTTGGCTGGTGACTTCCGCGGCGCGCTTCCAGTTCTCTGCCGGCTCAGATGATCTGGGCTGCTGCTGGTCGTCTTCATTAAAATTGGTGGAGTCTCGGGTTGAGCGTGTGGGGCTAGCAACGGCCGAGTAACCGTATGTAGTAGGGCTCAAATTGCGTCGACCTAGACCGCCATTGCGACTGCTGGGTCCTGGTGATTCCATGCCGGACTCCTTCTCTTCACTGGGAGTAGCAGAGGCATAGCTCCGAGGACGCGAGCCTTCGAAACGAGATCCCATATGAAGGCCAGATCGTGTAGCAGCATTGCTGTTGCCGATGTGGTCTTGATAGATGGAATTTGTATCTGGCATGCCCATGCTTCCTGCGTCGGAAGTAGCGTTAGGTGGGCTCATGGCAGACGCGCGAAGTGCTCGTGCAAGTTCACGCTTCAATCTTTCGATCTCTCTCTGCTGCTTTTGAACATTTCCCTCCGCGGTTTCCGCGTCACTCCGTGCTCGAACAAGTTGAGTCTCTTTCGCCTTGATGCTCAAGACGTCGCGAGTGTGGTCCTCAATCAGCTGTGCATTCTGGTTCTGAAGTTCAGTGATTGTTGAGTTGAGCCTTGACCGTTCGGACTTCATTTCTTCCACCGTTCGGTAGAGGTTTTCTTTCTCCGCCCGTAGTTCCTCCAACTCAGCACGCTTCACCTTTTCAGCCCGCAACTCCTCTAGCTCAGCACGATCGGCTGCCGCCATAGTATTGACAGCAGGTTCAGCAGGCACCGAAGGTCTGGCAATGGGCCGACCCGCAAGGCCACGACCAAGACCGAACTTGGGAGCAGCCGGCGGGGGAGCCACATCCTCTTCTGGAGGTGCTGGTGCCGCAACTCGTCTGGACGGCGATGCGGTGGTTCCGGGGCCAGCAAGCTTCCGTTGCAGCTTGAGAGCTGATCCAGGAGTTGCAATGCCGGGCTTAGGAGCACCGAGCTTCGAAGGGATTCCTCTGGATGCAGGTTTGACTGGGGGTTCTTCTGGAGCAGGTGGAGCAGCTACAGGGGCTAGTTTTTTCAGTCCAGTTGGCGCCGGCCTCTTGCCGACGACCTTTTTGGCAGCTGGGACGGCGGGCTTTGGGGGTGCCACGATAGCCTTGGGTCGCTCCTTGGCCTTGACTTCAGCGGTTCCGAAGTACTCTTTGATTTTGGTTTTACGAATCTCGTCAAGACCATCGAGATACGGGTTCATGGCCCGTTCACCCAGGATTTTCATTAATGTACCCAGAATTTCAGCCGCTCCTTCACGGATTGCCGGGGCTGACTCGGTCAATAGCTTTGTGCCGGCATCGGCGATCGCTTTCTGCTCTGCCTTGGCTGGTACCATCCGGGTTGTGCGCAAGCAACGAACCAAGAACTTGACAGTTTCCTGCTTGATCTGTGGGTTCTTGTGCTTGAGATACTCAAAGATTTCTTCCAAGCAGTCCGTAAGAGTTGTCGTTGTGAAGACAGCATCCAACGCCTGGCCCAAAGCATCTGAGACTGTCGCCTTCTTTTCTTTCAAACGTTCAAATATGGGCGCCATAATGACGCTTCGGTATTTGGTAAAACCGTTGCGAAGGCCTTTGGCCAACACGTCCACACAGTTGGCAGCTACCGTGACGACCGCGACGTTGGCATCCTTCATGGATTTGGCTAATCCTCTCACGATCTCATCGTAGGGGCCATCCTTGATCCGGGGAACGTTGAGAACGTTATAAAGGGCGTCTAACGCTTCCTTGCGGTCCTTCCATTTTGACGAGGCCAATTGATCATGGAAGTTGTCAGGGACTTTCTTCAAGACGTCAACGGGTTCCGCCAAGTCGAAGGCATCAACAACCACCGCGTCCTCCTCCTCATCAAACTCATCTCCGGCTGGATCCTCACCCCCCTCGCCTGCCGGGGCAGCGCTGGCCGCGGCCATGGCATCTTGTTGTGCCCGAGTAAATCGCTCTTGCTTTGGCGTGGGGTCCTGCTTCACAGCTTCAAATAGTTTCTCCAAATCTCCCTGTTGTACAGGTTTCAAATCGGCCCAGAACAGAGACTTGATGGCCTCCCGAAGCCACCGGTAGAGTTCTACGGTCAGATTTTGTGCTTCCGCGCGGACATTTTTATCGGCATGACCAAAAACCTTGGGCAGCGCCTTCAACGTTTGTTTCGGGTCGACGATCTTGCAGCCAAAGTTGTGATAAATGAGGGTCAAGGCCGCGAGAGTGGCAGCGATCACCTTGGGTACTTTGTGTGATAGAATGGGTAGTAGCTCCTCAATCACCGGATCGGCCTTATCCAATTCGACACATAATAAAAGAGCTTCCTGGGCGCTAGCTTTACCAGCCGGTCGTGTAGATGGGAGACCTTTTTCAGCAATTGGTCCAATTGTGTATGCGCGGGATCTATAAATAAGAATATTGTCAGTGGATTCAGGGCGGACCAAGGCGATCGCGTCTGGGACCGGGGGTTGACGCACCTCGTGCAGGCCTGGGCTCCTCCGAATTTTAGAAAGGCGCAGTATGCTGCAAGACCTTCTGACTGTGCTGCAACATTGGAATCTGCCACCGCCCCTTTCCACAGACCAGGGTCTTGTATGAATGGTACAAAGACCGGATGTGATTCATCGGGAGTCTTTTCAAATTGCGCTTTCGCATCTTCGTATCCCTCCTTTCGGACCTTCCAGTTCTATATATCGGGTTAGATGTCACCAGTGGCCCTATCGATCGAGCAGGTTTTATAGAAATGAGCGCACCTTGTGAGCGAACCGGTCGGGCAAGGGTAAGGAGGAGAAGTCCTCTGTGGCTTCAGCCATTCTGGGCGAACAGGCACTATCAACGGATTCTGGGAGCCAAAGGTGTCAGCACTTTCTGCAATGTCCGTACAGAACTGCGCATGGTATCAAAGAAGATTCCAGAGAAAGATATAAAAGGATGGTCGCGGGGGGAGGGGTGGTCTCTCGGGGGTTCATATTGCCGTACTGTGGGTGCCCAAAGGGTATCAAAGAGAGAGTGATTTATGAGACACTGATCTTGAATAGAACATATGCAAGTCAAAGTGTCAAATGTAGATTGATAGGAAGTTGAAGATATTAGTTGAAATGAGGAAAGAAAAATAAACAGTTGGAAGTTGAAGAGAAAGTAAACAAAAGCCTTGGCAGATTGTTTTGTTAAATCTCCCCCCTCCCCGCGGTGGATCGTAACTTGTTCTATTTATCTTCTCTTCTCTTCTCTTTCTGTGTTCAATTCTTTGACTACTCTTGGATCAATTCACCTATTCGCCAACTCACGAGCTTCAACCCTCAAACTCCCCTTAAATTCGCCGACACCGCTCCCACTTTCCCCTCCGAACCAATTTGGTGTATGCGACATTTGGATAAGCTGAGGGAAAAGAGACATATTACACCATGAGCCAACTGCTTACGTCGCGACAGGCGGAGGAGCTGTATGTGACCCAATATACTTCATCTAGGGGGTGATCGCTGATGGTGTTTTGCGACAGACATAAAGGAATAATCGCCTACCTCACCTCTGTGAATTTGCACCACAGCTCCGCCGCTTTACGAGAAGAACTAGGCGACTCCATTAGGGTTGATGAGACCACACTAAAGAAATATGAAGGACTATTGGAGAAGAAATGGACCAGTGTAGTCCGGTTACAGAAAAAGGTGCGAAGATCCAGACAATACTACAAGCTTACCTCTTGTTAACTTGCCATTCTGATATAGATTATGGACTTGGAAGCACGATGCGCAGCACTCCAGTCTGAGTTGGACACCGCGACCCCGACTTCCCTGAATCGAAAAAACCAAGACCCAGTCTCCTGGCTGCCCCGGGCACCAGCGCGCCACGACCTGCAATCGCACCGTTCGCCAGTATCGTGCCTCGCTTTCCATCCAATATTCTCTTCATTGGCCTCTGGCTCAGATGATACCACAATCAAGATCTGGGACTGGGAGTTGGGTGAACTAGAGCGCACAATCAAAGGACACACTAGGGCAGTGCTAGACGTTGATTATGGAGGACCACGCGGAGGCACACTTCTTGCATCATGCTCGTCAGATCTAACAATCAAATTGTGGGACCCGGCTGACGAGTATAAGAACATTCGGACACTACCAGGGCACGACCACAGTGTTTCAGCAGTCCGGTTCATTCCATCCGGAGCTGCAGGATCTCCAATGTCAGGAAATCTGCTAGTCTCAGCTTCTCGTGATCTCACGCTGCGCATATGGGATGTCACAACTGGATATTGTGTCAAATCTATGCAGGGCCATGGAGACTGGATTCGAGATGTTACACCATCCCCAGATGGCCGGTTCCTCTTCTCCGGTGGAGATGATCGAGTTGCCCGTCTGTGGGATATCTCTTCGGGTGACACCAAATCAACATTCCTAGGTCACGAACACTATATCGAGTGTGTGGCCTTCGCTCCGCCAACAAGCTACCCCCACCTCGCAGCTATTGCGGGGCTAAAGAAGCCACCACCAGCATCATCGTCCGCCGAGTTTGTGGCTACTGGTTCTCGTGATAAGACCATCCGTCTTTGGGATACTCGTGGAAACTGCATCAAGACCCTTGTTGGCCACGATAACTGGGTCCGCTCATTGGTTTTCCATCCCGGCGGAAAATACCTTCTCTCGGTAGCTGACGACAAGACCATGCGATGCTGGGATCTCACGCAAGAATGCAAGTGTGTGCGCACGATCGTGGCGCACGACCACTTTATCAGTTCACTTCGGTGGGCGCCGCCTTTGATTAAGGATGCTGGTGCAACTGAGGGCTCGAAGGGTGCCGAGGCTGCATCCAATGGGGCTAAAGAAGACCCTAATGCGACAAAGATGTCTATTAGATGTGTCCTAGCGACTGGCAGTGTTGATCTTAAGGTCCGGGTCTGGGCGGCATGATCTTCGGTTTGAGTTGGCACCGAGGAGCCATGGGGAAGCAGATGAGGCCGGGGCAACACCGAAAGCTCGAGATAAACCCTCATGCTCAATCGATTCGTCGAGGGAGCGTTGCATCTCTCTTGGTTATGCCTCCAAGCTGAATGGTTCGGATTTGACAGGCACATTTTGCCGTTTCTGGGTAAAGGAGTTGGTTATTCTTCCGTGATACCAGTGACTTTCTTTCTGTTTACGAATTAGGGAATTGGACTAGACAAGTTTCTAGGCTCGACCCATGTTTATGATGTACACTGTTGGCTTTTTGTTTGACATTGATGGGGTTTCTCATACATCCTTTAGACCTATGTATCTCCCTGAAGATCCCAGAAATACAACATATTACAATGTCAAAAATAGATTGAAGCGGTATAATACAGTACATAACCTCCGATATGCAACACCACAGAGGTCAAAGGAAATCCGACAGTTCAAATACTGAAGCCCATCCCAAAAAGAGCTAAACGTACACATGTTCAGTAAAAAGCCGATCATTGCGCAGCCTCCTTCACTTTCGCCTGGGTAATCCTCTCACTCTCCGCAACTCTCTCCTGCACAATCCTCTTAACCTTCCCGACCCGCTCATTCTCCCCATGAATCCGATGAATCAACTGCGCAGTAGAAAGCACCTCATCCTTAGGCACAGGAACACCGGCCTTAGCAGCCTCCTGCACGAGATCCACCTCACGACCAAGCCGTTTCGACTCGCGACGGAGATACTTCGCCGCCCAGCGGGTCTCACGCTCAGCCTCACGCTCAGCCTTCGATAGCACAGCAGGACGGTCCTCAATCGCTTGACCGAAGGGAGTGATGATGCGCTCGACAACGTGGTGCACGTTTCGGCTCTTGGGTGCGCCGGACGAGAACTCGATTACGTCGCCCTCGCGGAGGGAATTGCGCGGGTCGGACACTAGGTAGTGTGTTTCCTGTGGGTAGAACTTGCGGATGTGTCGGTCCCAGAGGGTGTGGCGGTGGCAGACGCCCACTGTGCGGTCCATGCGGCCGACGGAGACGACGGTGCCGGTCTTCAGGGCGGAGGCATAGTTGCGCAGTCGGGAAGGCGCTTGTGTATCTGTGCCGGTGGTCTTGGGTTTCGGTTGTGTGGGGGTTGGGGTGGTTGTTGAGGCGGTGCGGAGGGGTGTGGTGAGGTATCTGGTTGATTGGAGGATTGAGGGGCGTGTCAGGGACAGAGATGTCGTGAGTGAGGCTCGGAGAGGCATTGTTGCCCGGAGGAGGTGGCTTGGTGCCATTGTTGGTGGGGAGCAGGCGGTTGCTCTTTGGATGGGATTGAGAAAGACGAGGTATTAGAGACGATCAGGCACGCGAATGGTTTGTGGTAATGGTGATCGCCCAAATGGTTGCGAGCTTGCGGTGTTTGCAGTTGAGGATTTCGAGAATTTCTCGGGGAAGCATGTTTGCACTGTTTGCACCCTAGTATAAGATATCGACTTGGATGGACTCAGGATTTAACTAGGCAATTTGATAGCAGATTCTTCCTATTCAAGGATATAAATTGCAGCTAAGCTTCTAATTGATTGTATCAGATTTTATAGTGTCTAATTTACCTGAGCAGATTTCCCAACTCCGTTCCAACCGCTACCTCGGCCCTCATAGATGTCTCTTAGAATCACAAATATCGAGCAGTACTATATCTTTTCTTCATACTGATAATGCTTTTTTTTTTGCTTTCGGATTTCTATTCTATAGCAGAGCAGGAGGAAGACTCATAAAGCGAAATATGTACGCTTAGTCCAAACGGAGCAATTCCAAGATAGAACAACTTTGCCCTAAACACGGGAGTAGAACCAAGTATAAATGAGTTCATACCAAATTTCCCTTACCACTTGCCACGTTGGAAACAATATCGGTAGGAACTACATTTTATTGCCAGATGTGCCATTCTATGATACTGTTTGAAGTAACTATCGGCCAATACGTCCGTTTATTAAATTGTGAAATGGAAAGTGTACATCAAGAAGGTAGAGCTAAGCATAAGAACGACTGTAATCCCCGTGTTAAAGCCCATCTACTGATTGATCCAAATTCTACAGCTGTTATCTAGGCCGCCATACGCTCGGCACGACACTGCAGATCCTTGACCATATCAACCCCAGCCTTGGTAGACTCATCCAGGCTTTCATCCGACAATCCAAGCAGCTCATTCTGCGCCTTAGCCGAGAAGTCACTCGAACCATCTGGATAAAACGCCCTGGCATACAGCATCTTGCTAAAGCCAGCCATGTTACCACCTCTAACTTGCGCCAGACCGTCCTCGTATCGCTTCTTGGTGGCCTCGTGGGTAACCGTCCAGTCAGCATCAGTGGTTCCCGTGACACGCTTAACGCTCTCAAATATGTCGTTCTGGCTGACCACAAAGCTCTTAACGTACACGCCCTTGTTGAAAAACCCAGTTAGAGTAAGACTCTTGTCGTTCTCATCATCGGGAAGCTCCTTGAGGCTCAGAACTTTGGCCACGGCACGCCCAACCTGCGACAATGTCGAAGTTGAGCTCTTAGTGTTGCCATCATCGTAGATTGTCAGGGAGCGCTTGTCAAAGTCGAATCCAAAGCGCGCTTCACCACCTGCCAGGCTGTAATCGTACCAGAAGCCACAACACACAGTGATCCACTGCATGCCGAGCCTCTCAATCTCGTCCCTGTTGGCCTTGCCCACGGGGCCCAACATCGTCTCCTCTCCGAGTTTGATGTTGTCAATGTCGCCGGCGTACCCGTTGGGCATGACGTAGGGAACACCAGCCTTGGCGGCCGCCTGGACGAGCTTGCTGTGGGTGTCCCGGGGCGCAGTGGGAGCCATAGTGATGATCAAAAATTGCTGGTCCTTAAGGGCAGCGATGATGGTGGCCTCGTCGTCATAGTCAACTGGGACGACGAGGACGCCCTCGGGGAGTTTGTTGCTGCTGTCTTTGCGGGAAAGGGCCGTGACTGTGTGTTTTCCGGTTTCAAGGAGGGCGGCGACGATGCGTGATCCAATGGTGCCTCCGGCCTAAGGGTTTTTATTAGTATTGTTGTACACGTAGTGTTGTTTGGGGGTTCACTTACACCGACAATGGCGATTCTCTCAATGGCGTTTTTGAAGCCGACGGGCTGGTCTTTGGCGTACTTGGTCATTTTGGTTATTTGAAGACGTCAAATTGATGAGATATTAGGAACTGGTGTGATTGTGGTCGAGGTATTGTAGCTGTTTGCGCTGGGTCTGTGAGTGTCTGGCTACTCCCTGAAGCAGATATGCCCATCCATTTATACATTTCGGACTCGGCCTTGATTTCTCTCTATTTCTATGATCGGACTCGGAAATCTCGGACATTTACTGTCCACGTCGTGTATCCGAGTTAATCTGGTCAGACCATCAAACTTGATTCGCCCAGAGCAATGCAATCAACAAGGGCAATGTGTCCGTCGCCGTTGTCGCCGCCGCAGCCGTTATGCACTGGTGCTTCTCGGCCGCCGCAGCCGCACGCAGGGTCTAGTATAATACTGACACTAACATACAACATACAGCATAGACACCATCTGGCAGTGGTGGGTCTGGGTGACTAGCCCCGCAATAGCCGTCGTTGCCGCACACCAAGCCGCACAAAGACAGCATGACAGCGATTACTCGGCCATTTGCTTTTGCTTTAGCCCCCACGGGGGCCGTTTCGGAGTTGGGCCACTTTTAACATGGGCGTCTCCCGATTGGGGCGTAGCTGTGACTTTGATCTTCTGCTTTGTGGAGCGTTAGTGCAAGGAAACACAAGAGCATGTTAATATGTTAGTCATGGCCAGTTTACATAAATACAATGCGGAACTTCATTAGACCATTTTAGATGTTTTGATGAGTTGTATGTTGAATCACCGTTGAGTGGAGTCGATTTAACGTCCCCCATGCGACTACAACTAGATGTCAGGGCCGAGCATTGATAGATACGGTTCAATGAGGAACTGGTCCCAGCCCCAGTCCTCACCCCAGCTCATGTCCGGCACAGCGGCGTTGGCCTGGGATTCCGGCTGCGCCTGGAAGGATTGATAGCCCGCCTCGACAGCTTCCAGCTGGGCGAGCTCCTTTCGCTTCTTTGCCATACTGAGGCTGAGTAGATGACGCGCCATCGACAATGCTTTACGCGTTAGTCCTGTGTCCGCAGCCTTGACCAGATTCTCCAAGCCCTTGAAGGCAGCAGCAATGTGGACGGAGGCGACCGGCGTGTCGATGGCCAACAGGACACATGTATACTGGAAGACGCTGCCAATGACGTTCCAAAACATAAGACCCTGGTTAGCTAGCTGCTGCGCCGCCTCCACGGCGGCGTTGCCACTATCAATGACGAGCTGAATGATCTCGTCCGATATACCCATTTTGAGCTGGTAAATGCGCCGATAGAAGCAAAACGCGAGGTCCGCCTTAGTTACCACCAGGAAGGGATGGGTGAATTGGAGCTTATCCAATGCCTTAAGACGCTCAAATAACTCTTCTCTCGGAGTTAGAGGCTGACATTCGAGACGAAACGGGGAGTTAGGCGACGGGATGATCTGGGCTATTTGCACGAATTGGTCGGCAACAGAACCTGGTACCGGGATTATGGGCTGGCAAGTCACGGCCCCAAACCGTACAGACGAACGATCGTACTCATAGGATAGCATGTTATGCCCGGCCCACGAGATCCAGAAAATCCGCCTCAGCCGGTCCGCATCATGTCCAACGATAGCAGCGCCTGCGACGGACGCCATCTTCTTGATATTCTCTTCCTCGTGCAGCCCGACCGCTTCGCAGAGGTGCAGGGCGGTGCACGATGCGACCCAGGCATTATTAGGGCGGGTCGTGGCCCGTAGGTATAACACTCGCATGGCCCACGCGATGATGTGGTCGATACCCAGCGTGCGCATAGAGGCCGGATCATCGAGAATGGCTTTGGCGTACTGCACCAGGTCAGACTCCCGCGGGTGTCTGTTGGGGGATAGGAACGACCCGAGAGCAGCGACGCCAGCGGCCACGGCGCCAAAGGCCACCGCGGTGCTGCCGGAGCCATGGTAATAATCCCGACATCGCTGAGCGTAGATTCTCGGGTCCATGTAGTCGAGGATAGGGGCCATTACCGAGAAGTACACACCTGAGAAGAAGCCGAGGTCGTCCTCCGAGATGAACTTCCCCAGCAAGCCATGAGCGTTGGAAGCCTCCTCGGGACGGATACCAAAGTTGTAAGCGATTGAGTGCATCTTGGGGGTGCTGTCAGAGCCGAGAGCCATGCTCAGGATGTGCGGGAATGCCATGGCCGCTGATGCCCCGGCATATCTGGACTTCTGCTCGTCGAAGATACCGGCGGCCGTGGCCGTGGCCGCGGACGCGCCGGCTACGACGGTAGGACTCTGTGTCGACGAGCCATCGGTCCCGCGGGGACACCCCGCTACATAAGATAAGCTGTCCGGACTACGCGGTGCGGCGGCGGCCCGGCTCGCCATACTACTTCCGCCGTCGATGCCAACGCGCTCGGCTTGGAGCGGGACGTGTATGCCGCCACCCGGAATGCCAGTGTTGTCGTCAGCGTACCTACAGTTATATTCGTAGGTGGTGCACGTGCCGCATGGATACTCGGCATCGCATTTGCGCTTACGCTGGTGACAGGGGATGCATGCCTTCCTCGCACGCTTGCGCTTGGCGATTGGTCTTGACATGACTACCAAGGAGGTATGAGCTTCAAAGCCTATGGTACGAGGAGTAGATAGATCGTCTCTCCTAGGCTTTGGCTTGAAGGGTTCATAATTTTGTTCGGGATCTTTAAACGATAGGTTGGACTTGTTTACAAAACGCGAGAACAATGATGTGTCAGCAACAAAGTTGCATTATGTCCCCATGTTGTTCATGCTCCCCTTAAATGGCATGCTTTCCTTTCCCCAATCAAGAACACTTTCGATATGTTCTCATACATAGTCAATCGGCTTTTGTACCTACAACAATCGCTCGTATATTTCATATTACAGCCGTTCAACTTTTTCTCCCGCATAATCTCCCCTTTCATAGAGAAAGCTCACATGTGCAAACAAAAGCCGGAACGATCCCGAGTTCAGCGTTCCTTTCGACACCCAAGAAGGCCCTTCAACATGTGAAACCTACCCTGTGCGTTTGAAACCTCAGTATGACCTGGATATCTTAGGCGTCGGAGCTTCTGGCCTGCAGGTCTACGGTTTTCCCATTACAGCTTGCCTTTGAAATTGAAAGAGTGTGATGTATAACCAGGACTTGAAGACGGATGCTGGAGATGTATTTTCCTAACTTCATTCCACTGATGGTGTCATCATCCATATAACCCAGCTTGGCCCAAACGAGAGCCGTGAAATTTCTGCTTATATAGCATGTCAACGGCCAATTACGATACTCTTACCGGGGGATACTTACAGGTGCTGATGTGAATGGCCATTTGAAGCTCCCCGGTATCTCGAGAATTTATCCCGCCGGTTATGAGAACTTCCCATGGGCACTTCCGGTCAGGGCTCAGCATGATTCTCAGAGTATATCGCCCGCAATAGGCTTGGCGACAAATAACTGGTTAGGAGCTTGCTTCGCAAATCAGTATAGCTACCCCGCCTTCTCGGTTACAGTTACAACACATGCTGCTAAGCTACTGGCTCTCCGTTGTGTCAGGGTACAAAGGCTGATATGGCTAACCATGGTCGAACCAAGCAGAGCTGCAGGTGAGAGAGACTCGCTAACCAACATAGCCGCTAGGAAAGATAACGACGTGAAAGTTTATGCATTAGCCCGAGGCTGAGTGGTATATATCAGAAACACCCCAGATGTTGGCAAATGAGGATAGCTGTTGTGTCTGCATTGTCTCCTTTTGGACAGCCGGCCTGCCAGACCATGATTGCGCACAGTCTTGTGTTTACTATTTAATGTCGATCAGTAGCGCAGCTGGTTTCTCAACGAACTGCACAAACAAAGCACCAAAGGACACCTCGATGAAGCTAACAGGTGGAAACCCGATGACCCATAAGGGGACAAGGTCGCGGCTGGAAAGGGCCAGCGACTGGAAGCTTGTTTCACTACCGGCAGACGAGGACATCGTGAATCCTAGGACTAGCCGGGTTACCATCATGGTCCGGACGAGGAGATGAGGGGTGCCTTCTCACCATTTCCTTGCAAATGTTCAAGGATCAACAAAACATGATCCAATAACGAAACAACCATCTAGCTAATCCTTACCGAAAGTTTGATGTTGAGTATTAAACTGTCTTCCATTCCCACTATTTCGCATGATACGCCCCATGGCCCCCTATGGCATAGTTGTGTTTGCCCATTAACACAGGTCATGCCGGACCTCTTCTCGTCAGGCGAAAAAATTATTGAATTCAGCTCTTTGATGATATCTTCAAATTCTAGGTTCTACTGTGAATTCGCAAGACTGGACTGCACTATGGTTGGCAATGAGTTGGAAAAGTATAAAGAGGACTGGGAGTTGTCGTTGGACAACCTCGAATCTTGCTGATAACTTTATGTCATTTTGAGCACTGTCATAGATCTTGATCGAAGGATTAAAGGAGGGTAATGATCGCGGAAATACCACTAATCACTTCTATACAACATAGGGAGGAATGCGGGGGGGATGCACTCTACGTAATATAAGCATGGTCTACCACCTGGCCATATATGTACTTAAAATTAACAGAAATACGTGTCAAGAATTTATTCATCAGTTGTGATAACTTGCACATTCACTTTTCAGCCTCTAAGGCTTAGACCAATTATAATGGGGGCGGAATAGTTAAAAGGTTGACCTCGGGATAGGGCACAAGTACAAGCAGGTCACAGCCCCTTTCCACATATTCAGCTTTTGGGGGCGTAAATGTCACATTTGACATTTGAAGAGATCCACTCTGTAAAAGCTAGAGGTTATACTTAGAAAAAGTCCATTTTACCATATTGAGGTGGCTAAGACAACGTCTTTAGGGTTTGTTCAAAAGCGTAGCAAGTTTCACGTATAATATCACCGAGATTATCCAGTGTCCACTTCACACTCAGCTTCCCCTCTAACTAATTTCCCAGGCCTAGACTTTGTTATTGCAACCCTCTAGCACGCCGAGAATTGCAATTGTGCTCTGTTGCCGATCACCTCGTATTCTCCATGCCTACTATTGGACCGCGAAATAGTAAGCGAAGGACGTGCCGTCTCCAATGCTTGGCTTATGCAACGACAATATACCTTGTGAGGGCCAATATCAGCCTAAGGAGCTGAGCCGCCATTAAGGAGAAAGGGCCCTGTCCCACAAAAATCTGCGATCAAAATTTAAGCATTTCGTACTCCATAACAACCACATTGTTCACTCTTTAATCCCATTCACAATGAAGCCATCTCCACTTCTGTCCCTACTTCTATACTTCATCTGCCTACCTTCAGTGTCAGCATGGATATTCACATGGCACGAGCCAAACGGCAAATTGCAGGCGTTCCACGATGATAACGAAATGAACTGCGAGAAGATGGATAACCCAGTAGGAAATGTGTTTGATTGGAGCCCCCAAGCAGGACACTGGTGCATATTCCTTTACGAGAATGATCAATGCGAAGAGCCATCTGCAGGCAATACATGCAAGACATACGCCTGGACAAATCACCCCTCGACCAAGCACCTTCTGTCATTCAAGGTGATGAATAATACGGCTGGGTTTGATCCCTCGACGGCAATCCCATCAGCGACAACGACGACGACGACCGATGCAACGCCCTCTCCGACATCAAAGGTAGTCACAACTACTACAGACACCAAAGACGCTGCTAGCTCTTCGCCCAGTGCATCGAGTATCGACAGTGAACCCACTGTGTCGGGCGGTGCAATTGCGGGGATAGTGGTGGGAGTCGTAGCCGCAGTGGCTATTGCTGGAATTCTTGTTTTCTTCTTGATTCGTCGACGACGCAAGAATGCCGTTCAGCCAGGTGCCACGACGGGAAATGCAGCATTCGGGATGGCGGAACTTTCTTCTAATGGTGAAAAGTCGGCTTCAAATGGACATGGGTATCAGGCGGAACTTGCTTCTCCCAATGAAGAAAAGTCGTCTGCTTTGAATAGACCTCGGCATCATGCGCAAGGATACCGCGAACTACATGGATCCGCGGTGGCATCTGAGATAGGGGGGGTAGAGCGACATGAAATCGGTGGGACTCAAATCGACAGAGACAGGAAATATTGAGCAGGAAATATTGAGCAGGAAATGTATTTTAATGTCATTTGACGACGGTTATGTGAGATACCTAATGAGCAGGACTGTGAGCGTTCTCATAAAGCGGTGGCACGGGAAATTCCCTTCCTCAGCCTAAAATCCAGTGAACATACGTGCTGTAGCATAAAACTGGTCTAGGAAACCCAACCTGTGTACTCCAGAAATTAAATTTAGAGAAAAAAAAGGCAAAAACAATTAGAAACCTCTAAGAAAATACATTTCGCCTCATCCATTTTCGTGAAGGCCATCTAGGTTTCATTGAAAGATCCATTCCGACAGAGCACCAGAAAACTCATGTCTTGGAAGAGGAACATCAAAAGATTATTATGCTTCTTGCGTTGCGGGCATATCGACTTCGTTTGCGTCCGATTCCGCCAATTTCTTAGATTGGAATTTATCGGCAGAGTGAGCTGAGATCCGGGTGAGTTCGGTGACGAAGGACTGGCCCCAGAATGCGCTAAATAAAAGGGTTAGCCGGAAAAAGAAATATAGAGATAGCCTGGCTGGCAGGCTTGACATGGTGACATACCTGGTGTACTTGGACACGTATCTGTCCAACTTGGCAAAATTGAGAGTCCTCTGTTCATCGCTCATGGTTACGGCTTCTTGGTAGGCGCCTGCCAATTCTTCAGTGTTCCAGGGGTTCACAATGATACTGCCGTTCAAACTCTGGGCTGCTCCGGCAAATTCAGAAAGCACCAACACTCCGTGGCGCTTCTGTTGGGTGGCAATGTACTCGTAGGCCACCAAGTTCATGCCGTCACGGGTAGATGAGACAATGCAGGCATCAGATACAGCATAGAGAGCGATAAGTTCGTCGAAGTTGACCGACTTGTGCAGGAAGTGAATAGGCTGGAACTCGACCGTGCCTTAAAAGACAATTAGCCTCGTTCAGATCACCAGAGGAAAAATACTTACCGAACTTTCCATTGATACGACCCACTAGTTCATTCACCACAGCCCTCAGATTCTGGTACTCCTCGACGTCCTGTCGACTTGGAACGGCAACTTGTACCAGCACGACCTTTCCAACCCATTCTGGGTGGTCACTGAGGAACACTTCGAGCGCGTGCAACTTCTGTGGCACGCCCTTGATGTAGTCAAGACGGTCGACGCCGACCATCAGCTTCACACCCTGGAACTTCTGCTCTAGCATGGCAATGCGCTTCTGGACCTTCTCCTTCTTCAACCCTTCCTTGAACTTCTCAGGGTCAATACCAATGGGGAAAGCTCCGCATGTGATAATCTTGCCCTGGAACTCAATGCCGTTGGGCGTAGTTGCAAGACCCCTAGTATGGTTAGATATAAACTTCAAACGATATATGGTATACTAACAGTAGACGTGAGCAACTGCTCAGGAAATGGCGCGTGTAATCATAAGTGTGGAAGCCGATCAGGTCGCAATGCAGGACACCCAACAGTAGTTCGTTCCGCACGGGGACGATTCGGTAGATCTCGCTACTAGGGAATGGTGTATGTAAGAAGAAACCGATCTTCACGTTCTTCTTGCTGTCGCCGATCTCCTCGCGCAGCATCTCAGGAAGCAACATCAGGTGGTAGTCGTGAACCCAAATCAGGTCACCATCCTGCACTTCCTTGGCGATAGCCTTTGCAAAAAGACGGTTTGCTTCCTTGTAAGCTTCCCATGCAGACTCGTCAAAGGTAATCTCGCCAGGGTGGTAATGGAACAGCGGCCAGAGGATGGAGTCTAAGGAAGAGAAATGAATCAGTGTACATTCTTGGGGTTTGTTGGGGAGGAGTAACTGACTGGAGAATCCATTGTAGTGTCGATCTGCCAGTTCATCATCGATGAATACTGGTACAGCGCCGTATTCGTCCTTGAGGCGCTGCGTGACGACGGGGATCTCGGCCTCGGGCACCTCCAGGCCGGGCCAGCCGTACCACTGGAATGTGGTTGATTTTGAGAGACCACTCAGACCACTGACTAGACCTCCTGAAGACATTGAAAAATCATATTTTCCATCTTCGGACCGCTTGATAGTGATCGGCAGACGGTTCGAGACTAGAAGCAGGCGAGCTTCATTCTTGGGTTCGATCGAAGGCATGATGAATTATCGTGCAAAACTGATGAAAATTAAATTAGAATAAAGGTATGTTGTAGACGCAAGCTGGAACTCCTGTAGAGGCAGTTAGCAGTCAATTTCATAGGCGGGGAAACCTTGGAGATCATGACGAAACCAACCTTTGGGAACAAGTGGGGATTATTCACTCCGGATGAGCACCAGACTAGCAATCCATATGCAAATATTAGATGGCTAATAGTGATGCCAAAAGAAAATGTGTGAAGAGAGAAAAAAAAGAGGTGAAAGATGAGCAAGGCGGGGGGGAAGTGAAATGCGAACGTCACTGGGAACAACGAGTGGGCCTCATGGAAGCCGGATTTTGCCTGCAATATACTTGGTCTTGGTAAGTATTTTATACGTTGAAAATACACTAAAGTCACTTTAATTTGAAGTTTATTTTCTATTAGATCTTATGCCTGTGTCTTATTAGTCTTTTTATTAAATAAATTCTACAGGTAGATGGTTGGAAAAGGACCAAAAAAAAACATATAGCCTAGGAGATTGTACTTGAATCTGTAATGCTTTAACTGCTGTACTTGGGTTATTCTAACCGCTTTTCAAATATAGTAATCACCTTACAGAAATAGTGTAAAAATTAGATCTAAAGAGAGCTAATTGACATATTGAAGGTTCAAATGTTTCATATGGAGTTGTATTGGAATAAAAGGCGGTGAGCTGGGCGGTCACCATTTGGGTCTGGTTCCAGATGTAACATGGACCACTATAGACAAGACAAGAAATACAAAGGTCATTATTCTTATGTTTGTAATTTGGAATCAAAATATCATTTTCTCATTCTGACTCGGGTGGGGAATCGTGCCAGGCTAGGCCCCTACTAGAAGTCCTCGTAGGATATCCATGGATGATTCTAGCAGCTCGGATGCCCCGGTGACGGCGTTTGTCTTGGAACTTCAGGTTGATCGAGGCGAACTGATTTAACCCCATCGATCTCGGCAGCATTTTCCTTCTTTCATCTTTCTCCTTCTCTTATCTTGTTGCTTTTGTACAGTTATCAAAGGTTACACATCCATGGCAAAGTCGTTTTTCAGAAAGTAAGCCTGCCTACTACCTACTATGTATAAAACCGACAAGACACCCAAACGGGATATTTGAGAATACCACCGAGAAGACCTGAACTCATGTTGGTCGTCTGTCTCAAAGGTCTCAGAGACATCCTCACGATCCGGATATATGTTGTAGAGCCTTATTATTATCCATGTCCGCCAAGAAAACTTTCAGCAGTGTCTCTTACGCAATGGGTCGAGTCGGCAAGATGTCAAGTGTTGTGTGAGACATTGCCATAAACAGCGCCTCTTCAGAGTTGACTTCGAAAAGATCAATTCACCATCGTTTTACGAAGGTGAGATAATCTTTGATGTCCACAAGCTGATAGTGATCTTTGCTAGTGGCCGTGTGATCTGACACTTGGATGCAAAGATTCTCCAGTCGTGCTAATCACTGGATTATATTGTGGCTGCCAATTGTTTTGCCTGGAGGGTTTATCTTCATTAGACGGACTTTCCTGTCTTTATCTCAGTGCTGAGCTCTTAGCACTAGGGTTAAAATGATATGATACGTGACATTAGAATGACTAATGTTCTAGTAAAAGGGAGCTCGGGAGCTTAAACCTCTCAAGGTAGTCTCAATTATCATTGTATAGTATAACGCCCACGACCAAATTCACAAAGCCGACCTCTCCCCCGCAAGACTCCATTTCCCATCCGAATCAACAACCGTCCGCCCCTCATCCTCCAGCTTCATCAGCACCTGCAACACACCATGCGAAGCAGGTAAATGCAAAGACTCAGGAACATCACGGTAAATACGCTTCACCAACTCAATAGGCGTCCATGCCTGCTTACTCTCCGGCGAGGACTCACCAGCCGCGACATCAAGCTTACCAAATCGGAGCACCCGCAGGACCTCGTCTTCCCGCTGCTGGCGATGCTTGATGTACTCGGTGATTCTTGCGCCGGAGTTCTCAATCACAGCCCCGTGTCCCGGGTATCCCCGGCCTGAGGAAACGCGGTCGCGCATCCGGTGTAGACTGCCGAGGTAGGTTTTGAGGTCTTCAAAAACGGCTGTACCGTGGCCTAGGACGTCTGTGGATTTGGGGTTAGATATGTCTCGGGGATATAGTATATTCGTTTTATTGGTGGGAGGGAAGGGAAGGTCATATAAGGACACTTACTGTCACCCGTGAACATAGCATTCTCCTCTTCGAGCATGAATACCATATGATCAACGGTGTGTCCAGGCGTGTGGAATGCTGTCAAGGTAGCACCTTCAACAGAAAATACCTGGCCTTCATGGATATCCGTCTGAGCGGAATCAGGCTGGTGTTTGAAGATCTGAGCCTTGGGACAGAGTTTGAGCAGATCTGGCAGCCCGCTGACATGGTCGGGGTGCCAGTGAGTCAGGAGAGCCTGGTGTACTGTTGCTTTTTCTTGCGAGAGCACGTATTGAAGGTTTGCAGCCCATGCTGGCTTGCCTTCTCCTGTATCTATTAGGATTCGCTGGTGGCCGCGGCCAATTAAGTATGTGTTTGTGCCTGGGTATGTAGTTAGAGCGTGTGTATTCTGAGTTGGGATGGAGTGTGATGCTTACCTTGTAGTGTGAACTGTGTTGAGTTTTGTGCTATTGATCAGCTTGTTGTGTTCTAGTGATAGCATCTATGAACTCACCTTTCCCGGATTCCCGCCTAGAATTCTCACAACCGAGGCGCTGAGGCGCTCCACCTCTGGGAGTTGGACGAGCTGGGTCGCCATTTTTGAGATGGAGTATAGTAGATGGAAGGTAGGACTTTAACAACCTGGTCTTGATGCAAATCAGTGGTCAACCGAGGGCCGAATTATCATTCAAGACGCTCTAAACTTCTAAGCTTGC